CCTGACATGCCAAAAATGTTGTTGAACGATTTGAACTGGATAAAAATAGCAGACGAAAATGTGTTTACAAAATAAAAATAGTTCGGTAGCCAATGAAAATACTATGTTCATTTGCATATCGACCGTGAAAATACCGAAAACATTATTGCATGGGTGATATGCAAATTAGTTTGGGCCAAAATAAGTGACTGCCTAAAAGTACCATTACTGTTGTTCAAATTTCATTTCACTCGGCAAGTATATTCATGTACCCCAAGGGGAAAATATCATACTTCTAAATATTGTTTATTTCGAAAAACTGTACTCCTGAAGGGACTACTTTGTTTGCTCTCAGACCTCATTTGCATATGGGTTGTGGAAATACCGATTTTGATTTCATGGACGAATCAAAATAAACTGCAGTACATATGTAATAATATGTGCTAATTTACCAACATGATTGGTGGTATCACATCGTAAAATATTCCATAGTACAATTACTACAGGGTAAAAAAACCTTACCCTAAGTTACCGAACCCTATAAAAACCTTACCTTTGAAGACCCGACCCTAACAAGACCTTACCTTTGAAGACCCAACCCTAACAAGACCTTACCTTTGAAGACCCAACCCTAACAAGACCTTACCTTAGAATGCCCAAACCGAACAAGACATTACCAGTGGATACCCAAACTTAGCAAGACCTTCCTTTAGATTACCCAAACATAGCAAGAACTTTCCTCCGGTTAATCAACCCTAACAAGAAATTATCTTTGAATATCCAACCCAAGAAGACTTCCTTAGGATACCCAACCCTAACAAAACCGCTCCATTGGTTACTGTACCATACCATAACAAGACCGTTCTTTAGATACCAACCCTAAAATGCCTTTCCTTTGGTTACCCAACCATACCTAGATCTGTTCTTTGGATATTCAGCCATAATACGATCTTTCCACGATCTCTTTTTTACAAGACTTCTATTTGAAAACCTGGCCCTGAAAGCTACCTTACACAAAGTAGACATTTCCTATGGAAGCACAACTCTAACAAGACCGTTTTGTCACCTTATAATATCAAGACCACTACCACGGATACCACAATAAGTAACTCGTATTTGGACACAATGCCATAACAATGCCTCTCGTTTGAATACCATATCCTAATAAGACATTTCTATTTGTATTATATATCCTAAAAGGACTTCTCATTAGGATAACATACCAAATAAGACCTGTTTTTGGATATAACACCTAATAAAACTGTTTTGAATTTACAAGGTTTACAAGACATCACTATAGGATATCAAACCTACTGGGATCCCATCTATGGATACTGTACGCCAACAACACCCCTCCTTTGGATATCACACCCTAACAACACCCATTGGATATCATACGCTAAATAACACTCCTTTGGATATCATTCCCTGAAAAATATCTCTATCGGATACCATTACCCAACATTACCCCTCTATTGGATGTGACACCCTAATAACGTCCCTCCTTTGGACATCAAACATAACAACACCCTTCGTTTGGATACCATACGCTAAAATAATCCTCCTTTGGATATCATTTCATAACAAAACCTCTCCTTTTGATACCATACACTAAAATAACCTTTTTTT